GCAGAAATGGCCACCTAGGTTTAGACCCCAAAGGGAGAATTTCTCGTCAGTTCCAATCTGGTTTAAAATCATTGATTTACCTATTTGTTGCTGGAATTCAGAGGGTACCTCCCGCATAGCTAGCAAAGTGGGTATTCCTTTGGCTATTGATGACTTAATTGCCCAAAAATCTTGTTTGACATATGCCTATGTCTGCGTCTAGGTGAACAATAAAATTGTTTATGAGGAGACCATTCAATCTCCATTGAGGATGAAATTATTAACCTCAAGGTACAATATGAGTAGAAAATATGAGTGAAGGCATACACCTTGTGATCATTGTGGATCTCTTGTATGCTCTTCTATATCTTGCCCTTCAAAACCTCCCTCTCCACATGTTGAAGGAAATAAAATAAGAGGAAGAAGCAAAATCTACAACCCTTCTAAATATCATGCTCCCAAACATAGTTGCAGCAATGCCTTTTCTGTTTGTGCACCAAACCCCCAACTAGAGGACAATCCAATAACCCAACCTCCCAAGCCACACAACCATCCTCAAGCAGCTGACCTTCCAAGCACTTCCACAGCTACATCTCCTCCCAATCCACCTCTAACTATCACCCTACCCATCATTGTTAACCACCCTGTGATCATAGTCGTAGCAAGCCCCCTCCATAAGAACTACAAGTCAAATAAAATCTAATCGAGGCAAGCATTCAAGGAAGCCTCCAATCACCTCATCCAAATCCCAATGATACTTCCCTCTATTTCTTCTTGAAACATTTGGGGTTTTAACAGTCCCGACAAAGTTAGATCTTGCAAGCTTTTAGCTAAGAAACAAAATTTGGACATGCTCTATTTATTAGAGAATAACATTCATGCTGACTCTCTTTCTGATCCTTAGTTTTGTGCTATCCATTCTATCTTTGATGGTGGATCTAGTTATAATAATTTTAATATATTTACTTCTGGTAGAATCTGGATTAAATGGTCTCCTTCGAAGTTGCAATTCTCCCCCTCTTTTACTTCATCCCAAATGATTAGTGGCCTTATCACTTTTGGCTCTTCTACCTCCTTTTTACTATTATATATGCTTCTAACTCGAAAGAGGATCATCTCATCCTTTGGCAACAAATCCGAGACATTGCCCCTCCCTCATCCATGCCTTGTCTTGTCATAGGTGGTTTTAATTGCTGCATATTTCAAAATAAAAAAGCTAGAGGGATTACTATGCATTTTAGTTTATTAGGATATTTTAATTTGCTAATCTTAGACACTCAACTAAAGGACTTGGCCATTGTTGGTCACTTTTATACATGATTTGATCAGCAAGCAGAAAATTCAATCCATATTAAACTTGACAAGGCCTTAGTCAATGATGCAGGGTAAGAGGATTTTCCTTCCTCTCATTATTCTGTCGGAGATCCTCTATGTTCTGATCATTCTCCTATTCTTTTAAAGGATGACATATCTCACAATAAGCAACATCATTTTCAGTTCAAAAATTATTAGACTAATTTGGATGAATATTGGGACATTTTTCTTGTTGTTTTTATGGAGCCTTGTTATGGCAATCATATTATAGATTGTGGCAATAAGCTTAAGAAGGTGAAGTCATGCATCAAAAATAAAAAATGGTCATCATGTTCCTCTATTGAAGACTCTTTAAAGATCCTTCATAGACAACAATCTGCTTGTCTATCTTTTCTTCATATTGATCCAACCAATAAGGGCCTTAATCATTCCCTTAAATATATTAATAGTGAGATTACAAAGCTTACTAGTGCTTAGGCCTCATTGATTTCCCAAAAAGCCAAAACTAAATGGCTCAATAATGGTGAAGATAATCTCAAATTTCTTTATGTTAAAATTCATTTACGGATGAACTATAATGGCTCCTCCATTATTGTTGCTCTTGAAGGGAGTCATGGAAATGCCACGAATGTCATTAGTGTCATTACCCAACACTTTGTCATTAGTGTCATTACCCAACACTTTTATAGATTGTGGCAATAAGCTTAAGAAGGTGAAGTCATGCATCAAAAATAAAAAATGGTCATCATGTTCCTCTATTGAAGACTCTTTAAAGATCCTTCATAGACAACAATCTGCTTGTCTATCTTTTCTTCATATTGATCCAACCAATAAGGGCCTTAATCATTCCCTTAAATATATTAATAGTGAGATTACAAAGCTTACTAGTGCTTAGGCCTCATTGATTTCCCAAAAAGCCAAAACTAAATGGCTCAATAATGGTGAAGATAATCTCAAATTTCTTTATGTTAAAATTCATTTACGGATGAACTATAATGGCTCCTCCATTATTGTTGCTCTTGAAGGGAGTCATGGAAATGCCACGAATGTCATTAGTGTCATTACCCAACACTTTGTCATTAGTGTCATTACCCAACACTTTGTCATTAGTGTCATTACCCAACACTTTGTCATTAGTGTCATTACCCAACACTTTGTCGGGAGTCATGGAAATGCCACTAATGTCATTAGTGTCATTACCCAACACTTTAACACTTTATACAACCCCTCTGTCCTTCCTCAACATGATGCCCCGTCTTTCCCTATAGGCCTGGTTATTCCTCCTCACCTAACTCTTATCCTTTTTTTATCATATCTCTATGGCTGAGATCAAAATGACTATCTTTTCGGGTGCTTATTCTTCTTCCCTGGGTCCAAACTGTTTCAACTTTCATTTGTACATAACTGGTTAGCATGTTTTGAGGTCTAGTCTATGCAAAGCTGTCATATCCTTTTTTTTATAAAGATTTTCTTTCTAGAAGTTTGATGGTTACTGGAATTGTCTTAATTCTTAAAAAGAGTCATGATAACTCCATTTATGATTTTAGGTTGATATCTCTATGTAACACCATCTACAAAATCATATCCAATTTTTTGGTTGTTAGGCTTAAATATATTATGCCACTTATTATAAGCCCATCTCAAGCTGATTTTATCAACAAGAGAATCTCCACTGAAAATGTCATTTTGACTACTGAACTTCTAGGATATTTTAGAAAATGCACTAATAGCCAATTTATGTGCGCCAAGTTGGATATCAAAAAGGCATTTGACTCAATTTCTATATATTTCCTATTTCAAAGGATGTTATAAAAGGGGTTCCCTATAGTCTTTATTGGTTGGGTAAAGGCTTGCATCTCCAATGTGCACTTTTCAGTTTGTGTCGATGGGGCTTTAGAAGGATTTTTCCCCTCTTTTGTGAGGCTTAGACAGGGATGCCCGTTAAGTCCTTACCTCTTATGTATTATAATGGATGCTCTATCTTGTCTTTTGGACACTAACGTGAATGGGAGCAAATTTGCTGGCATTGATATTAAAGATTTTCATCTATCGCACTTATTACAAGCTATGATCTCTTAGTGTTTGGGAAAGCAACTATACATATTTATAATGTTTTGAATGGAATTCTTTCTACCTTTGCAACGTTGAAAAAAGCTCCATCATTCTCCAACCCAATGCACATACTGCCAATGATATATGTGATGTCATAAACATTCCAACATACTCACATAAAATTACCTACCTTGGCTTACCACTCTCCATTAAGAGAGTTCTTCTCACTGATTTTGCTCCTCTCCTTGATATTATTACTAACAAGCTTTTTGGATGAATGCTAAATCTCTCTCTTTTGTAGGTAGGCTCTAATTCCTTAAATTCAATATTTGGAATACTATAGCGTATTGAATCCTTGGTGCCATTTTATCTAAGTTTTACTGCAAAGAAATTGCTAAACTTTTAGCTAAATTTTTATTTTTTGGAGATCCTAATGCTAGGAAGTT